TTTCATTGAAATAATCGTAGATGAAATACTTCCATCTAATTTGGTATTGAAATACATGATTACTCAACCAGAACATAAGTTAAACATTCTTATGAATCTTATTGAAAAAAATAAGGAGGTTATTGTATTCTTCAATACTTGTTTAGAAGTTGATTACTTTTATCAGTTAATAAACAAAAAAATATTTGATAATAAATTGATAAAGATACATGGAAAGATGAAACAATCTGATAGATGTGAAATATTTAAAGAAGTAATTGATTGTGATAAATTTGTGTTATTATGTACTGATGTAATATCTAGGGGTATTGATATAAAGAATATAGATTTAGTTGTACATTTTGATATTCCTAAAGAATCATCATCAATAATTCATAGAAGTGGGCGAACAGCAAGAAATAATCAAGTAGGTGAGTCTATTTTATTTTTAATGGAGAATGAAAGCAAATACGTAAAATATTTAAAAATTAAAGAAAAATTAAAGGATGAAGAAATTGTTGAGATAAAAACTCATTTACCAACTGAAGATATATTTGATCAAACAGAAATTGAAGATGAAAATTTAAATGTAAAAGCATTTGTAAGTTATTTAAGAAGTTATAAGGAACACTTGGCAAATTTTGTTTTAAATATTAAAGAATTAAATATGGAAAGTCAATTAAAATTGTTTAAATTAAAGAAAATGCCAATATTTAAAGAATTTAAAAGATCTTTTAAGAAATAAATTAACTTATTGATATGGAAAATTAAAAAATTCCCTCCAGTTAGAATAAAAAGAAAATATTTTATAACCCTTATGAAGAAGTTATCTTTAGATAGTGACATAATGGAATATAACACAGATAAACCAAAGTTAATATTATTTCAGGGTCCTAGTGGAGCTGGTAAAACAACGGTTACTAAATTTTTATGTCAAGAACTAATTAAAAATGGAATAAAGAGTGAGGTAATAAATTTTGATAATTATGCTTTTGCAACTGATCCTAAGAAGACAATAACAGGTGATTATAATTTCAATTGTCCTTCTGCATATGACTGGGATGGATTAAGAAAATTACTGGTTAGTTATGGAAAGAAAGAAGATTTTGTAGAGAGGAGAATTTATAATTTTGAAACTGAAAGTGTGATTATAACAAAGCAAAAGAACAACAAACCAGATGTTTTAATTCTAGAGGGATTCCTGATATTTAATTTAGTAAATGAAAAAATTTTTAACATAGAAAAATCCTATTTTTTGAATCATTCAATGTCAGTTAAAGATAATTGTAATGTACCTAATCCAATTGATTTTAGTATTTATTTTAATATTTACAAGATTTTTTTTGAATTAGAAGAAAGTGATATTAAAAAAATGCGGTTTATTAGATATTTTAATGAAAGAAAATCTAAGCCTCAATTGAAAAATTTGTGTGAAAGTGATATGAAAAAATTTATTGAAAAGGAATTAGAAAAATTTGTTATTCCTTCAACAAAATCTTGGGTTAACTGTGGCAAGGAAAGTGCTGATTTAATTGTAAAATGTTCACCTTTTAGTCACAATCGTGATTTGAATGAATTTATTAAAGAATTTATTGAATACTTTTGTGAAGATTTAATTGATACTGAAATTAATAATAGTTTTAATGAATACTTATTAAGTAATAGATGATTAAATTTAATAAAATTATTTTTTAATATTTTTATTTCTTGATGAGTTTGTTGTTTTTGAAAAAAATTTATAAAAAGGAATTTTATTCTTAATCAATTGAGATTGAAATTCCTTGACTGCACTACTGTATTTATTAAGTCAATAGTACTTTTGTTTAAGTCTTGTATTTGTCCATTATCAATAAGATTGTTAATAATTTCAGCTAACTCATCACACTTGAATTTTGTATCATTTTTTAAATTTATATTTTCATTGTAATTATACTTTTTTGATAATTTGTTGAATAGGAACGTGTTGTTATCTCCTTTAACTAATTCAGTGGGTATTTCATTATACTTTTCATTATATTCATTGGATAAATGATCTAATCTTATTAAAATGTTTTTTAATTGTTTTGATGCATCACTTTTATCATGAAAAAACATTAAAGATTTTGAACTTTTCTGTAATGCTGATTCTGCAAGATACTTAAAAGTATTTTCTAATGTCCTAATGACTGCCATTAATATACGATAGTATAAAAATAAGATATAAGTAAAAAATTTTGATCTCTTGTCGTCATCAAATT